TTTTTTCCAGCCATCTTGCAAAACTCTTTCCTCAGAAATTGCAGAGTACAACCCTTCTGTTTCAGCTTATTAAAAAAAATCACAAAGGAAACTCATTTCCATCTGTTTGAACAAAAAATTGCAGTGGAAATATATCTTTGAGTTGAAAAATTAATCTGCTTTCAAAATCTTAAAATATCAGTGGTACCAGCCATTTTCTTCCAGCAAAAATGAATATATCAACAGATTTCAAAAGATGCACTAGCCACTGAAATTTTCTTCGTTTTTGTGGATATGTGATAAACTTCATTTAAACAGCAGCAACAAAAAATAAATAAAAACAATCATTTTGGATGCTGTTTCATGTCTCCCAACAAACAGATACAATTAACTGAAGTTTTAAAGATGATTCAGAGAGTTCCTCCTTACCCTCCCAGAGGGAACTGCCTGGATTGTCAAGCTGTATAGACTTACTAAGCTCTATTTTAAAAGTATTTGGATGTTTCAGAGGTTTTCATTTCACTGTTCTTGCTGAAAGGCTTTTACAGAGTCGTAGTGCTTGGTTACAAGGTTTCTTCGTGTTTCCAGCCTACCTACATGGATAGCAATTTATAACTATTTATTTTTGTACCAACTTCAACATAACTAATTTCATGCCTGCCCTAGCATTACCTGCCCAAAACACAACAATTCTCTTCCACTATCCTCTCATGAAATCAGCTATTCCCCTGCTATACATAACGCTTTATACTTCTTTTCCTTATTCTTGAGCTTATGTGACCTGAACTGCGCAGTGTGTTATAGACGGAGTTTCACCTGTGCCTTATTCAAAGGCAATAATACTTCCCTACTTCTCCTTATGGCCCAGAGGGTCATGTTTATTTCTCGCGTTGCATATCACGTTGGCAGCTCATATTCGTGTTTTGGTAGTCTGGTACCTTCAGCTCCACCTAGATCACTTCCCGATTATGCGAGTTTCCCCTGATAGTTCTCTTTAGTCCACAAGGTTATGATCTTGCCTTTAGCACTGCTGAATTTGATCCTTTTTCTAATAGCCAAGCCCTCAAACTCATCCAGATTTTTGAGCGTGACAAAGCAATCTTTTTATGTCTTGAAGATGCCTCTTATCTTTGCAACACTGCAAATAACCCCAGCTCCCATACTAATACCTTTGTCATTATGCCATTATGAACGTATTAAACAGTCTTTGATTTATCTTTGGATAAGTCATGCAATTTATCTTCAGTAAACTAGCAACTAACCACCAGTCCTCCCCTTTTTGTGAGCTGTAGCATCTAGGAATAGCTGGATGGTACAGTTTATAGTAACCTGCATTCTTTCTTTTGCATCTTTGGAATCAATATGTGTCATAACGATACCATACCCGAGAATATTTATTTTGTTATTAACTTACATTGTTACTCAACTTGACTTTTATTTTTACAATTCCTTAAGAGTCCTTATCCGTCAGTGCCCATGTATCAATCATGCCTGCTATTCCATCATGAGTTTGCTGTCCTTGCAATGGTGCATCTGATGCCCATCACTAGTTGCTTCAGTTACTTCAGTTTTGCTGCTTGAGACCTTCACTCTTCACAAAATCACATCAATACTGGTTGGAAGGGATCTCGAGCCAGCTGGTCCAGCTTTCCTCTTGAAGCGGGTCAATAGCCAACACTAGATTAAGTAATCTGTGGCTTTTTCTAGCTGAATCTTCAAGGAAGTAGATTCCACTGCCTCTGAGCAAAATAGTACTGTCTACAAATTCTTCACTCATTGCCTATTTCTCTTCTCCCATTTCTCAAGCACACTCCTATCATGCACAGCGCCTACTACAATTGTAGTTTCTTTCTTCTTTCTCTTGAATCTTATGCTGACTAAAGTTCCTTTATCTATGTTAATATCTGTATTTCCATGATTTTTTCTATTTGTGCTAAAACTAGTGTGCAAGCTATACTTTTCCCTTTTCACCTTATTTCTCAATTTTTCTTTTTATCCACCCGACCAATCTTAATCCTAGAACACTTCTCAAGGATGCTCTTAGCATGAATGGCTTTAGTGGTCAAACATCCTCACATCTTTCCTGACTCACCCATCATGAAATTACCTGTTGAGATCTTCCCATAGCTTCTTTATCCGTAATGGGGTAAAAGAAGACTCATACTAAGCACTGACTTGGCCACTTCTTCTTTAAGCATGTTTCCCAGGATATTAATTACCCACGCAGTCATTCCAATGTGAATTTTGTGGTGTAGTGTGAACCTTTGGAATATTTTTTTTTCCTTCTCATGAGAGCATTCTTTTAAACTTTACAATTGTGTCTTGTTTCTTGCTCAAATGACTCTGAAGGAATCACATGACAGGCCCGCCAGATTTTTTAATATTTCAAGGCCTTTAAGAAAGGCCATTACCCTAATGTCATCAATGAAGATAAAAAACAAAGGTGCAAGACATTGTATCTTCCCAAGCAAAGACATATTTGCAATGGCCTTGGGCAAACTGTAACGCTAAACAATATTACCTATGACAAAGATGAGTTTGGAAATCTCTATTCTTGCTTTGGATTAGGAAAATGAGATCAAGGGCACTTGCTTTATTTTTAGAAACACGTAACTGAATAAAATTCATATAAGGAAGAATAAATAATGTAACTCATCAAAAGCTGCATTAAACCTCAGTGAAGAAGCTAATGGTGAGTGTGGACAGTCTTTCACGGATATTCCCAGAATTCTCTATGCTTCTTTTCCTGCCTGTTCCACATGCCATTGATTGATATACCCTTAACCACTGTATTTTAGGAACTGTATGGCTATATCTATGTCAATAATCTTGCTCTGGGTTTAACTCTTCATTTAGCATGTGACCCTCTCCAGATTGCTTACGGCTTTCTTTTTATAATACCAGATACATCTCCTGAACCCTAACCCCTCTGTATTTTACTTTCCTAATGAAGTAATTACTAGTGGCTACACATAAGCAAAGAAAGATTGCCAAAGGAGAAATGTAAGATAGCTCTTGTGTGCATAAGACATCTTATAACATGATATTCAATAAGAAGTTATGAGCCTCAAAGAACATGCTTCCATTACGAGTTGCCATGCTAAATATATAAATCAGAAGTAATATGACTGAGAAACTTTTCCTTGACTCATCAGTAGACTATCTGACTAATTGGTATCCTTGAGGATTTTAAAATCTCAGTATGAACATTTTCTGGGATATGGACAGCTTGATTTCATTCAATTTCACGCCACTTCTGCACATGATTAGATCAGATTTAAATGGATGGACTTTACCTATGACTGTTTGGAAGGACAAATCTAATTAAACGGATTGTCTTTCCATGTATTCTTTATCTTTTCTAAGTTCTAAACTCTTATTGATTACCAGCGGCAACACAAAAAACCAGTTGGATAATATATGCATTTTTTGTTGGCAATGATTATAAACCTAGATTAATCTAATTAAATTATATGGAATAAAATGAAAAATAGAGGGATTAATTATATAAACTGGAAGCCTTTGAGCTCTTGCCTCATATGTTTGGCATTGCATATGCTGTAAATGAATAAATATAACCCCCTACCAAAAATACCATTACAAAATATCTATAGAAGACATGCCAGAGCTCTGTGCTTAAACAATTTATTACAAAAAGTTAAATGTTAAACATATTTCCACATATCTATATCACTTATTCATCCATGTAATTTTCTTTGTCTATGAATTTCTCAATGGCTTCTTATACGAAGTTACTGATTTCAGAGGTTACTTGCACCCCAGAGTGCTCTTGAAAATTCAATACCAGAAGTATCCTGTACAAAAACCAGAAGAATTTGTATCATATAACAAATGAGACTACTGGGACATACACTGATTAGGAAGATATGACTGAAAATACTGTCCAAAACCATAACCTTCTTTCTGAAGCCTCCTCTAATCTTAATAAGGATTTCTATATGCACCTTCAAAACACTTACTTCCTCAGTACTTTTGTAACGGTCCTGACAGTGTAGATAATATTGATAGACTTGAAAAGAGTTTTCTAATGACTTGTTCAGGGATGAAACCAGAGGCAGCTTTGGAGGTGCAGAAGCTCAGGAACAAGGAACAAAACCTCTTATCAGGAAATGCAGCCCCCAAATCTGCTATAGTTGTGAGAAAAATTGTATAGGTGAATGGGGTGGGATTTCCAGCGTTGTGACTACTACGGTTATGGCAAGGAAGGATATCTAGTCTTTGGCTGTTGTTAGCTTCAGATAAAAGCAGAAAACTTTCTGGTAGTTCACTTCCAGTATCTCAGCTTATACCGCTTGCAGTTCACGAATACCTCTACTGGAAAAGACTGAGCCATAGATTATAGTGCTATTAGTCTTTTAAAGAAGCACTATTTCTAGTGTTACTGTTGCCAGATTTTGTATTTTCTTTGCTCAGTTCATTTAATGGATGGTTTTCAGAAAGTGAATGTTTCTTTGCATATTTCTACGCATATGTACAACTAACATTCCTCGCATCATGAATTGAAGTCCTCCTTGGGCAAGTTCACAGCTTTTGGTTTTTGTCCTCCTTGGTCTGTCTTTTTATTCCCTTGCTGCAGTCCATGATTAGTAGGGCAAAAGGGAGTCTTATACCAGTTACTCAGTACTTAGTTCGGCATTGGTCAATATACCTCCAGCTTTTCCTTCAAGCCTGCAAGACGATGCTTATCATTTTTTTCCTGCAGCAGGATTTCTAATCAGTCAGCATAGGTAGCTGAAAGTCCACATCTATTCACTGTGTTTCTCCATTTGTTGGTAGGTTTTCTTACTGCAGAATTCAAAAATCTTTCTTGTAGGAATTAGAACCCTTGTCCTGGCTGGAAATGCCATCTTTCTTTCTATTCTGAAGTTTCCAAAATTGTTTATGTCCTTGATGAGCTGGGCATTGAAAATAAAATACGCAGATAACACTGGTCTCTGATTCAACCACATGACAAGGCATGTGCCATATCACCACTCTTTATTTATCATACTTAACAATTTATTGTTGTCCCTTGTACCACCTTAAGCTTACACCTGCAGTTGCTGAGTGACTCATCTGAATAACGCATTTTAATAATGCAGGATATATCAAAATGTTGAAAGCTACAGAAGTGTTGACACAGAAAGCAAGAGGAAGGAATCCTTCCTATTTTGCACATCTCCAAAAAGGTTGTGGTTTATCTCTTTCTTTGTTTTGGCAGGCGCTTCCTGATTAACAGGGTAATCCTTCCTGGAAGGGTGAGTAAATGGAAAGTTCAGCTGCAAGGGAAAAGAAAGAAGACCATGTTTGATATTGCTATAGACCATCGAGCAGAAACCACAAAGCAATCCAACAGAGAGACAGAAGACTTCTCTGTTTCTTTTTCTGAAAAATGTAACAAGGATTGACCCGCTGTCCTTCATTGTTTCTTGAGCTTTGGATAGCCAGCTTGAGATAAGCACAAACAAGAACCAAATTGTTCATTACAAAATTTGCATAAAAACTTATTTCAGCTTTGCATCATACATTACTGATACAAATAATGTAGCTAGTTTGGCCATGAGGAACTGCAATACTATCGACCCTGTAGGAATGTTCTCTCTTTTATTTGAAAAAAATGAAAACTGTAAATGGATGTTATCAACAGGATCTTCTTTCAAGTCATGCACTATGAAAAAGATAAATCACCACCTAAACAATGCTATGTCAACTCCTATTAAAATAGTAAACTGAGGACTCCCCAAGATTGTGGTCTTGCTAATTTCATGATCTTGCTGATGTGTGTGCTACAATTACTACTCCACTGACAGTAAATCTCACATTTTAAAAGCAATAAAAAAAAAGACATGCCACTAAAAACTCAATAAAATGCCCACCTACAAAACAACCTGTAATGTTAAATAATGGCCTATGATATATTTTTAGGGGTGTTTAACTTTATATAATAATTGTTATTGTTTTTAAATATTTCTATAGCATCTGTAAGGAGGTTCTCAGTAATGAACTTGAAACACCATAAAAATATCCTTCTCCTTTGCATCTTCAAGCTGGCCTCAAATTATGTATGCAGTTTTGCAGTTGCTTTCTTATGGAAGCAAACAAAGACTGAGAATGAAGTGGTGGTAGGGAATCAGGAACTCTGGATTCTGTTTCCAGCCCAGCCATGCTACCGCTTGTGTGGCTACAAGCAAATTACCAGTCAAATTGTGTCACAAAGTCCTCAGCTAACACGTAATTCACAGTTATGCTGTGAGCATCAGTGAACCTGCAGTGTATCTGGAGAGTCACAGCCTAAGCTAAAAAAATGCAAAGCATTTATGTTTTGTTAAATCTGTGAGTTACTTTACAGACATAATAAGGTGTTTCCTTTTTTTCTCAGACTTCTAAGTGGGTTAGTAGAAACAGGAATGCATACTTGAGCCCAAAGGGTCAAAATGTATCTCCTTGTATCCATAATTTTATAATTTATGAGAAAGCTGCTCCTTGGTACCTTAACCGTCAGTGGCTGGTAGGCTTACAAATGTGTTGAGGGAACACAGAGAGACGTGTTACTTAAGATTTCAGCTATGTCTGTGCCACCTGTGTTGACTGCCATAGAGGAAAAATAGCGATGTATTCCTAATGAGAGAGGTAAATCCTCAGTAATAACAATGAGACCTTTCTAAATATCTGAACAATCAATCACCAATGGAAGTAGGAGCAAGCAAATTGGTGGCTTGATGGCATGGAAGAATCGCCTTATAACTGTCAGAAACCAAATCATTAATAACGTAGGAATCAATTTCTGTTACTCCTCTTTGCTCCATCAGCAATATTATAGCAGAGAAGAACTGGGAATGAGGAAGCCAATAGCTGAAACTTGATTTTTTAAGATACAACTTAATGTACTTTCTCAAGTTAAAGTGAACGGTTAAAGTTAAAGTGAACGGTACTGTGGCCCAGATTGCTAGTGAGAGAGACTTCATTGAACAAGAAAGAACAATGGGCAAAGATCTCTAGGCATAGAACAAAGGTGAAGGGTGAAGTCAGGAAAAACAAAAAAGTGATAGCAAACCAAGGAAACTTCCTGGCTGTCAAGAACCAAGCATGATATTTCTTAGTAAGTTTTCCAAAGCATGGCATTTTTGAAGTCATTAACTTTTAAGAATAAACAACGGAATAACATTGTATTTATATGAAATTACAGGAAATTTGTGAGAGAAAACCTTTGCAAAAAGAAAATGTAAAATTTAGTGTGTATGACTGACAGACAGCAAACCAGACTCTAGAAGTGAATGCTCTTCTGTGTGCGTGGGGAGTGTGTGTGTGTGTATTCAGTCATTCCTACATTACAAATGCTAAGAAATAAACAAGCATTCCTGATAAAGATATGCATTTGTCACCTCAGGTCAATTTAAGAAATACATAATCCTGAAGAGAGGTCAAAAGGTGTTTTTCCCTTGTCATATTCTGTTTTGCAGAGTCAAATGTGTAGTGGTCTTCGTTGGGTATTTCCACATTTCAGCTTCATCTAAATAAACCTCCTGGATATGCTAATATTCTCTTCTGTGACAAACAAAATATTATTGTAATGATTTAACTGTAAATTACTGGAGCTCTATTCAGAGCCTTAATTTCAGTTTAACATAACTGTTTGTCAGTCTTTTTATTACATTTGCATAGTACTTTTGAGAACATCTGGTAGACACACTGGCAGTCCTAATTCACTACAGCTGTTTACCCTTAGAGTCTCCTACACCTGTAGAAAATGGTCCCAAAACAGCAGGTAGTTCTTGTGCCTACTTTGCATCCACTTTATAGAGATGAGTGGTGAAGAAAAGAAGTGAAAAATCAGGTTATACAGCTTCAATTTAAAATGTGTTAATTAGCGTAAAGCCTTAGTTTACTTGTAATTGTTATGGCATTAGAATCTCTGTCAGCTGACTGTTCTTTTGCTCCTTCCCTGTCAACATATTTCATTATGCATTCTCCAGATGCTTTCCTGTGTCTGTTCCAATCAAGCTTCAAGTTTAATTACCATAAATCAGAAATGAGGCTGGTTGCTGATGTTGATTCCAGCATCCTTGGTCACAAAAATATGCTTTTTTGCTGCTAAAGAGTAACTGTTAGCATGATGGAACGCTTAGGAATGGGAGCAAATGGCTTCCTTTTCTCCAGCCACTGTGCTGTGCCCCCAGAAGGTGGAACCTGCTACACATCCTTGAGAGAAATCCAAAGGGATTCAAATCACATGAGGCTATGGAAGCTCAAATGCAGTGCTGCCAGTCTTGAGGACCTCATTTTGTTTTCTTTTACTAGACGCTGACTTTAGTGGAGCTATATTAGATTTATAGAGACCTAACTAAGAACAGAATCCTGTTCCCATAACTATCCACTACAGATCAATTAAAAAAATCAATATTAAGACCAGGGACAGATTAACAAGGGGGGGATTAACCCTTTCCCTGCACTTTCCAAGGCCTCAAAAACGGCATATACTACATGTTACTAAGTGGGGAGGAGACTTTTGTATTGTGCCATCCAGCTCCATCCTCACATCAGCATTGCTAAGATACCTGTACTTGATTAAAACCATACTTAAGTTCTTTAGCTTTAAGGTTTTAATCTTTAATATTATTGAGATTTGCAGTCGGTTATAAATCCTATTGGTCTGTGCTGCAATATAATGCAATTTTGAGGTTATGTGTACGGTGTGAGTCTCAGTTCTTTGGCTGAAGTGTGGTGGACATACATACAGGCTGATACTGAAGCTTACTCAGTAGTGCATTGCAGGGTCCAAGCAGATCCTGTCATTTTAGAAGTTTGCTTTAACACATTATCAGATTTTGTTAAACGTGCAGAATCTGGAAGATCTTGGGCTAATTTCCTAAATGATAAAAGGGATGAATGATTACTTAACAAAAGGACTTAGAAACTTATTTCAAAGCTACTGCATTTGAATTTAATCCTATTTATAGTATGAGTGTTTGTGCATACGCAGGTTTGGAAAGGTTTCTTTCTTTTTGTCATTTTACACTATAGGAAACAATAACACACGAACACAGCCTGAGATGATGCGTTACCTAAGCTGTACATTGCATCGTTGCTGTGTGACATTCCTACATTACGTCAGTAATGCAGAACTGGAGGGTGTCATGTCTGGTATCTGCAGCCTTGTGGCTCCTGCTTACATTATTATTGGATAGCAGTAAGCTGTGTGTTAGTCTATCTCTCACCAAATGGATTTGAGATGCCTACTTGGCCCTTGGTAGAACGCTCCCCAGGTTCACACTGCATTACTGTTGCTGCTGTTCACTGTCACATCACAAGTCTATGGAGCAGTATCACTATATAGGTCATAGGGTGGGTTTAGAAGCTAATACCTGTCCTGATCTGCACAGCAGTGTCCTCGGCTGCCTGGCACAGCTGCAGTGGGTAGCACAGGAACTACTGAGGAAGGAAGGGAGAATGCATCTTCTTAACTGTCTTGTCCTTTTGTCATTCCCTGACCTATAATTCCTGGATTTGTTCCCATCCCACATTAGTGTGAGATTATGAATTGCTGTTGTTGTGCTGGTGCAATGTATGTGATGATGTCATTGTGCTGGCCTGGGAGTTCAGTACTGTATAATCACAAAATGGCATGCTAATGCTACTATCCGCCAAAGTGGTACATGGCAAACCGCTGCCACGCTAGCTGCGCAGTTTTATGTAGGACTGCGCTGCTGGGTGTACGAGAGCACGCAGCTCCAGGGACGAACCCAGCCACGACGAGCAGGGCCAGCAGCTGCACAGCGCTGGGGCTCTCCGCTCCCCTGGCGCAGCACGCAGGCCGCACCGGAGCTGCAGGCGTACGTGAGGGGGTTTATGTGAAGGTGCATGGAGCGCAGCGCTTCTTAGGGCGCCTGAACAGACCTGCCGGCAGAACGTCACCAGCGGCACGCGGTACATACCGTGACGCCACACCATGAGACGACACACGGCGTGTTGTGAGGCCCCGGCACTCAGGCGAGCC